GTCTCTCTGTGTCAAATAAATAAAATCTTAAAAAAAAAAAGCCAGAGTAACTATATAATTAGACAAAGAGGACTTTAAAACAAGAAGTATTATTAGAAATATATTAAGGAGGGTCAGTTCAAATGGGCCAATTCAACAAAGAGGAACAGTAATCATAAATGTATATGCCACCTAATAACAGAGTTTTAAAATATGAGGCAAAAAAATGACAGAATCAGAGGGGAAAACAGACAAATACACAATCCAAGTTGGAGATTTTAACAACCTTCTCTCAGTAATTGATAGAAAAATTAGGCAAAAATTAATAAGGGTACAACAGATTTGATCAAATGTACCAACCACCTAAATCTAGTGGGCATTTACAAAACACCACACTACCCAACAATGATAGAACATGTTCTTTTTAAGTGTACATGGAACTTTGGCCAAGACAGACCATATGCTGAGCCATAAAATAAGTCTAAATAAATGTCAAAAGTTGAAACTTACAAACTGCTACCTAATCATAACACAATTAATTTAGAAACCATTAACAAATGATATATCTACGAAAACATCTGTAAATCTTAAAACAAAACATTAAAACATTTAAAACTGAATGATAATGAAAATACAACATATCAGAATTTGTGGGATGGAGTGAAGCAGTGTAGTTCATATTCAAAAAGATAAAAGATGTAAAGTCAATGGTCAAGGTTTCCATCTTAAGATAGAAAAATCAAGCAACTTAAACACAAAAATCACGGACAGAAGCAAATACAGCAAGGCTATGAGCTGTCACCACGTCTATTCAGCTTGTACTTGAGGCCCTACCAGAACAATAAGGCAAGATAAAGAAATAAAAGCATAAAAATCAGAATAAAAAAAGTACAACTGCCTCTGTTCACAAGTAATTTCTTTATGTAGAAAATCCTAAGAAATCTAGCAAATATTAGAAAATGAATTTAGAAACGTAATGAAATATGAGACAAAAACCAACCATATTTCTATATACCAGCTGCAAACAACTGAAAAATGAGAACAAGAGAAATATGCAATTAAAAGACCCCATTAAGGATATGAATACACAAGCCACAGATAGTGAGAAAATATTAATCAGTACATTAATTTGATAAAAGAGCTGTATACAGAATAAAGAATTCATACAAGTCCATAATAAAAAGACAATTTTTTTTTTTTAAAGATTTTATTTATTTATTTGACAGAGAGAGAGATAGCGAGAGCAGGAACACAAGCAGGGGAATGGGAGAGGGAGAAGCAGGCTTCTTGCCGAGCAGGGAGCCCGATGTGGGACTCGATCCCAGGACCCTGGGATCATGACCTGAGCCGAAGGCAGACGCTTAACGACTGAGCCACCCAGGCGCCCCAAAAAGACAATTTTTTTAAATTTTTTTTTTAAGATTTTATTTATTTGAGAGAGAGAGAATGAGAGACAGAGAGCATGAGAGGGAGGAGGGTCAGAGGGAGAAGCAGACTCCCTGCTGAGCAGGAAGCCCGATGTGGGACTCGATCCCGGGACTCCAGGATCATGACCTAAGCCGAAGGTAGTCACTTAAACAACTGAGCCACCCAGGAGCCCCTAAAAGACAATTTTTAAAATAGTCAAGGGGCACCTGGGTGGCTGAGGTGGTTAAGTGTCCAACTCCTGATTTTGGCTTAGGTCATGATCTCAGGATCCTGAGATCCAGCCATTAGTTGGGCTCTGTGATCAGTGGGAAGTCTGCTTGAGATTCTCTCTCTCTCTCTCTTTCCCTCTCCCTTTGCCCCTCCTCCAACTCACACTCTCTCTCTAAAATAAATAAATAAATTTTTAAAATAATAAAAACTAAAAAGAGTTAAAAGAGTTCACAAAGCAAGTTATATGAATGGACAGTTAAGCACAGGAAAAAATGTTCAACATCATTAGTCATCGGTGAAATGTAACGACAGCCACTATGAAATACCTCCACATATCCACTAGAATCATTCACATTAACAAGTCTAATATCATCAAATATTGCAAGTATGTGAAACAACAGATTTGTCTGTCAGATACTGGTGGAGGGAGTGTAAAATGGTACAATTCCTTTGGAAAAAAGCTGGCAGTTTCTTCTGTAGTTTAGCATATTCTATGAAAAAAATATATATATCGAAGAGAAATAAAAACGTATCTCCAGACTTTCACAAGATTGTTCACAGAAGCCTTATTCATAATAGCCCAAACTGCAAACAACCTTCAAGTCCATTAACAGTTAAATGGATAAACAAATTGTGGCATATTCACACAATGGAATTCTGCTATTACAGGTTGAACTGGGCCCCCCAAGAACATAGAGTGAAGTCTTAACCACCAATACCTATGAATGTAACCTTATCTCGAAACAAGGTTTTAGCAGAGGTAATTAAGATGTAAACTGAGATGAGGTCATAGTGGAGTAGAGTGGGCCTTTAATCCAACATAAGGGGTGTCTTTATAAAAAGAGGAGGAGAAAGACAAAAATATAGGGAGTAGGCTCTGGGACTATAGAGGCAGAGAATGGCATGTGTTGTCTACAGGTCAAGGAACAACAAAAATTGCGGGCAACACCAGAAGCTAAGGCGAAAGCTAAAGAGAAGCGCAGAGAACAGACTGTGCCCCACATCTTCAGAGAGGTTGCTGACACCTTGACTTCTAGTCTCAACTGTGAGAAAATAAATTTCTGCTATCTTAAGCCACTGGGTTTTGGGGTACTTCATTACAGCAGCCTTAGTAAACTAATACAAACTACCCAATAATAAAAGGAGAGAAACTACTGAAATACCAGATGAATCCCAAAAATACTATGTTCAGTGAAAGAAGCTAAACCCAGAACTAATCTATGACACAGAACATCAGAACCATGGTTGCTTTTGGCCACAGACAGCAAGTCATGGAAGTGACAAGACGGGGAAAAAGCTTGAAAACGTTTTCTGAGTTACGTTTTCTTTTTTTTAAAGATTTTATTTATTTAACAGAGAGAGAGACACAGTGAGAGAGGGAACACAAGCAGGGGGAGTGGGAGAGAGATAAGCAGGCTTCCCGCCGAGCAGGGAGCCCGATGTGGGGCTCGATCCCAGGACCCTGGGATCATGACCTGAGCCGAAGGCAGATGCTTAATGACTGAGCCACCCAGGCGCCCCTGAGTTACGTTTTCTGAGTTGACTAAAATGTTCTCTCTCTTGATTACTGTGAGGTTATAAAGTTAGCATTTGTCAAACCTCACTGAGTTGTACACTTAAAGTTCTGTGCATATCGTTCAAAGGAAAAAAATCTGTAATTAAATATTAAACTCTAGTTAGTAGCTATGCTTTCTGTAGAAGTTTAGGTTACAAATCTGAAAACATTTTCTGTGTACTCTAGGCTTAAGCAAAGGATAGTAAAAGCCAGGTCTCTCATTATTAGAGAAGAGAGTTATAAATACAGAAAAAAAAAAAAGACGGCAACAGCAAACCTTGTCGTGGTGAATTGGAATGGAAGGTTATCAGTATGAATTCCTGTTTTTTAATACAGATAGATAGCTACCAAGTAAGAAAAGGGGATGAAGAATAACAGGCATTTTCCTTCACATATCTTTCTATCTTTCTGGATCTGAAAAGGCAAAAAGTAAGGGTGTAAGTTAAAGGAATAAGAATATACTTCACTACCCACTGCCCCTCCACCAACCCTCAATTTGTTTCCTATAGCAAAGAGTCTCTGATTATTTGTCTCCCCGAGACAGGGTAATTGTGTGAATGGCATTAAGGAGCGCTGGTGATGTGTTCAGCACTGGGTGTTAGACGCAACTGATGAATTACTGAACTCTACATCTGATACTAATGATATACTATATGTTGGCTCTTTGAATTTAAATTAAAAAAAAAAAAAAAACTGTCCAGAAATGGGGATTATAATATCTCTAATGTTAATTCCAAGCAGACTGTTATTTTAATTTCTAAAGATAATTGGTACTGCATAGTAAATTCGTATGTTAAATATAAGTATGTGAACTCTATTTAGTTTTAAAATATATTATCTGTATGCAATTAATTTCAATAAAAATTCTGGAAGTAAAAAAAAAAAAAAGAATACACTTCACTAATGGAGATGGTTCCCTTGAATGGATTCTCATTCAATGTGTGGTGAGACTTTTTATTTCTAATGGTTTGTGAAATATACTAATTGTGGTGTATCTAAATTATTATTTTTTTCAGACCTAAGAAGGATAGATTTATAGGATAAGGAATGAAGAATGAAAACTTTTTTAAAGTTTCAGTCTATCTTGGTAGTTGTCTAGCCTAGCCAGGTTAATCACTGCCTAATGAAAACATTCTTAGGTAGATATTTATTACTAAACTACCTTCAGTCTTTCTTGGATGTCTTATGCATTTACCTGTTGATAGGTAGCAAATGGAGATGACCTATTTTAATCCAAGGTAAAGTAATTTACATTTTTTTAAAAAGAGTAAATAAATTAGCTTTTTTTTTCTTTTAGCTCTCAATTTTCTGTTCAGTTTCACAGAAAATTAGTATATTTGACAGGGCTTTTATTTTGAGAAATACAAGGTATTCTATTCCCTAAGTACATTAACATTAGTAAATGCCTCAAAATCAAATTTTCTTTTCTCCAAAATTGTACTCCATTTTTTTTTCCCCTCTCTCTTTCTGTCTTTCTCTATCTTTTTTTTTTTTTTTGGAATTAATAATCAAGTATACAAATGTAAAAGCCATCAAAATTAGAATACTCAGTCTGCTAAATGATGAATCAAATCAATAATCTGCACAGCATCCCTAAGTAGTGATATGTAAGAAATCAATCTGGATTTTGACAGCCCTCCTTCTTAGGTCATATCACTGTGTATAGAAGCCAGTCCAGTAAATATAAATCAGTGAGAGTTGGTAGCTGCTATGCCAAATTGTACTGATTTCATTTGTTAAACTACTACTGGAATGATGTCTACCTGCAAACAGAGTAAGAGAGAGCATACAAAGAAAAACACACAGGACGAAAGGTCCAGCACCTTACCATCCACAGGTTTGACCTCAGCTGGTATCTGCTCTTCCTGTCCTCCCATGCTGCCTATGCTGTTCTCTTTAATGCTTTCTATTTCCCGCAAGAAATCCTCCATGGAGGTGCTGTCTATGGAGGCTTGTGAGTGGGAGCGGCTAAATGCAGAAGAATGTAGAGATTCATTGGAGAGCATCCTGTTAATTCTTCGGCAGCGAGGAATAGATTTTCTGCAGAAAGAATAATATGTTAATAAAAATCAGTCTTTTATGTTTTAAATCACAAAATAAAATTTAGGTTTAAAATCAATGCAGAATGGAGTTAAGTGTGACATAGAGGGGTCTAAGAGAATTATCTCCATTTAGTGGTGGCCCTTCTTTTTTATTCTCTATAATTCATAATGACTTTGTGGCTACATAGGAATCACCCTGAAAATACTTTTTATAATTTTCACACAATCATAAAGTATGAAGTTACCTGTATTAGCCAAAACATATAGTTCAAGCCAGTATCTCTAATGAACACAGATGCAAAAATCTTCAACTATTAGCAAACTGAATTCAACAATACATTAAAAGAATCATTCACCACCACCACCATGTGGGACTTATTCCAGGGATGCAAGGATGGCTCAATATCTGCAGATCAATCAACATGATATATCACATTAACAAAAGAAAGGATGCAAACCATATGATCATCTCAAAAGATGCAGAAAAAAAACATTTTAAAAAATTCAATATCCATTCACGATAAAACCTCTTAACAAAATGGGTATAGAGGGAACATATCTCAACATAATAAAGGCCATATATGACAAAGCCACAGCTAACATCATACTCAATGGTGAAAGGCTGAAAATTTTTCCTCTAAGATCAGGAAAAAATAAGGATGTCCACTCACACTTTTATTCAATACAGTACTAGAAGTCCTAGTGACAGCAATTGGGTAAGAAAAAGATATGAGGCTTCCAAATATGTAAGGAAGAAGTAAAACTGTCCGTATGTGCAGATGACACGATACTACATATAGAAAACCCTTAAAAATGCCACCAAAAACTATTAGAATCAATCCATGAATTCAATAAAACTGCAAGATACAAAATAAATACACTGAAATCTGTAGTGTTTCTTTTCTTTTTAAAAGATTTTATTTATTTATTTCAGAGAGAGAGAGAGAGAGATAGCACGCACAAGTAGGGGCAGACAGGCCAAGGGAGAGGAAAAAGCAGACTCCCCCCTGAGCAGGTACCCTGATGTGGGGCTTGATCCCAGGACCCTGAGATCATGACCTGAGCTGAAGGCAGACGCTTAACCGACCGAGCCAAAGAGGCACCCTGTAGTGTTTCTATACACTAATAATGAACTAGCAGAAAGAGAAATTAAGAAAATAATCCTATTTACAATTGCATCAAAAGGAATAAACGACCTAGAAATAAATTTAACCAAGGAGGTGAAAGACCTGTACTTTGAAACTTAAGACACTGATGAGAGAAGTTAAAGATGACACAAATAAATGGAAACATACACCATACTCATGGACTGGAAGAATTAAGAGTTAAAATGTCCATACTACCCAAGCAATCTACAAACTCAATGCAATCCCTATCAAAATACTAGTATTTTTCACAAAACTAAAACAAATAACCGTAAAACTTTAATGGAACCACAAAAGAACCCGAAGACAAAGCAATCTTGAGAAAGATAAGTTGGAGGTATCACAACCACAGATTTCAAACTATATTACAAAGCTATAGTAATCAAAACAGTATGGTACTGCCACAAGACACATAGATCAATGGAACAGAATAGAAAGCCCAGAAATTAAGACCACACGTATATGGTCAATTAATCTATGACAAAGGAGGCAAGAATATACAATGGGGAAAAGACAGTCTCTTCATTAAATGGTGTTGGGAAAACTGGACAGGTGCATGCAAAAGAATAAAACTGAACCACCTTCCTATACCAAGACACAAAAATAAACTCAAAATGGATTAAAGACTTAAATGTAAGACCTGATACCATAAAACTCGTAAAAGAAAACACAGGCAGTCACCTCTTGGACATCAGTCTGAGTAGTATTTTTTTGGATGTGGCTCCTCAGGCAAGGGCAACAAAAACAAAAATAAATAACTGGCACTCCATCAAACTAAAAAGCTCTGGACAGTGAAGGAAACAGCAAAACAAAAAGGCAACCTATTAAATGGGTAAAGATATTTACAAATGACATATCTCGTAAGGAGTGTATGGTACATACTGGAAGGCTGGTTTATGCAAGCATGACCTGAATGTCCCTGTTAATCACTATCTTGAGATCTTGTCCTCCTTCTATATTCCCATCAAACAGAATGGATAGGACATGTTGTTCAGTGCTCAAGGTTAGGGACTCCAGGGGTGGCCAACCCAGAGTGTCTCCCTTGTAACAAAGACTGTCTGGATGGCAGGACTTGATCTCCTTCCAACACTGGCTGTGCAAGGAAGGGAAGGGCTACAGATAGTTGCTAGGCTAGTTGCTATACTATAAAAGCTTACTGCAAATAGATTCCAGAAGTGGATGCTTTGTCCAGTTGGCTGCTGCTGGACATCCTCTAAGTTGCCCCCATAAACCTACATCTTGATCCCTGTCTCTGGGTCATTTCTTCAGTCTTGCCAGACCATCATCCACCCTTGGCTTAGAGTGTCCTGGGGTGTGGCTACACAAGGGGTTAATATCCAAAATATATAAAAAATTCATAAAACTCAACACCAAAAAAAAAAAAAGTCCAAATAAAAATGGGCAGAGGAACTAAATAGATACTTTTCCAAGAAAGACATACAAAGTGGTCAAAAGACACATAAAAAGATGCTCAACATCATTAATCATCAGAGAAATGCAACAAAACCACAATATCACCTCACACCAGTCAGAATAGTATCAAAAAGACAAGAAATAATAAGTGTTGGCAAGAATGTGGAGAAAAGGGAACCCCTGTGTACTGTTGGTGAGAATATACATTTGTGAAGCCACTACAGAAAAAGAATATGAAGGCTCTTCAAAAATTTACAAATAAGAATACCCTACAATCCAATAATTTTACTTCTAGGTATTTACCTGAAGAAAATTAAAACACTAATTTGAAAAGATATGTGCACCCCTACATTTATTGCAGCATTATTTATAACAGCCAAGATGTGGAAGCAACCTGTCCATTGATAGATGAATGGATAAAGAATGTCACACACACACACACACACACACACATACACCCACATGTGATATGGAATATTATTCAGACTTAAAAAGAATAAAGTCTTGCCTTTCCAACAACATGAATGGACCTAGAGTGTATTATGCTAAGTGAAATAAGTCAGAGAAAGACAAATACCATATGATTTCCCTTATATGTGGAATCTAAAAACCAAAACAAATGAACAACTAACAAAAAACCAGACTCTTAAATACAGAGAACGAACTGGTGGTTGACAGAGGGGAGGGGAAGAGGGCCATGGGTGAAATAGGTAAAGGGGATTAAAAGGTACAAAATTCCAGTTATAAGTCACAGGGATGAAAAGTACAGCATGGGGAATATAGTCAATAATATTGTAATAATGTATGGAGACATACAGTGACTACACTTATCATGGTGAGCATTTTTGTATATGTTATAAATATACAAATGTCAAATCACTGTGATGGATACCTTACACCCATGTTTCTGTGGGGATGAGGGAATGGGAAGTTTTTGTTTAATAAGTATAGAGTTTTAGTTTTATGAGAGAAAAAGAGTTCTGGAGAGAGGTAGTAGAGATGGTTACGACAATCTGAATGTACTTGATACCACTGAGCTGCATGCTTAAAAAATGGTTAAGATGGGGGCGCCTGGGTGGCTCAGTCATTAAGCGTCTGCCTTCGGCTCAGGTCATGATCCCAGGGTCCTGGGATCGAGTCCCACATCGGGCTCCCTGCTCGGCAGGAAGCCCGCTTCTCCCTCTCCCACTCCCCCTGCTTGTGTTCCTGCTCTCGCTATCTCTCTCTCTGTCAAATAAATAAATAAAAAATCTTTTAAAAAAAAATGGTTAAGATGGTAAATTTTATCTTACATGTATTTTATCAGAATTTAAGATTTTATTTATTTTATCAGAATTTTTAAAAAATGACAGAAAATTGGGGGGCTAGGTGGCTCAATCAGTTGAGTAGCTGACTCTTGATCTCAGCTCAGGTCTTGATCTCAGGATCTCAAGTTTGAGCCCTGCACTGGGCTCCACACCGGGCATGGAGCCTACTTAAAAAAAAAATTGAAAAATATATTTTTAAAAAGTTGGCTGCTGAAATAACGAGATAGTGTGAAGAAATAATCTGTGACATTAAATAGAAAGACCCTACATTAGGATGAGGAAGGGGGCACTGACCCGGAATACAGAGACCCATAGTCAGTTCAGGGAGAATTGGATCACCACTAAGGGTAGGGTACAACCAAAGAAGAGGGCAGTGTGGGCTCCTGTTATCTAGGAGGGCCACAAAAGGACCACTGCCAATCTTGAAGACACACAACTGAGCAGAGCATGCAGCAGCTTCATGGGGCACTTTCTCATGGAGTTGCTGCAAGGACTAAATAAATTAGCATGTGTGTGCACTTAGAACATAAAAATATCCAACAAATGTTAGTTTAAAAAACAAGAGACACAATAGAGGACATACATGCCAAAATGCTGGAATTCTGAGAAATTTTGAAGATTTGCATAAAAATAAAATAAAATATTTTTATGTGAGGCAGTGATGTGTTAAGGCATCTTATTGTTGTGGTAATAATTTTGCAATATATACACGTATCAAATCAGCATATCATGCATCTTAAATTTAACCCAATGTTATATGTCAAATATCTCAATAAAACTGCAATAAATTCAAAATATATTTGAGTTCCAAGACATACGATTGACAAATACAGTATTTCCTAGGAACAATGTTTGATTAACAAGAACACTTCGGTCCCCAACCATGAATAACTGAGCTACTTTATGCAGTATGATCTTCTGTTCTTGCTCTTACGTTATTTTCTTTTTAATTTTCCAATTTGGAGTGGGTATGAAACTTCTTTCAAAGAATTTCAAGTATACCTTCTTATCCTGGGGTTCAGGTAGAGTTGAACCAAAAGGCTGAGACTACCTCTTAACTAATGTGCAGTCTGAGCTGTTACACCCCAAACAAGAACTCCCAGATGGAAAGAGGCAACCAAAGCAATGGCATA